TCAGGGTTTATATTATGATGCTTCCTAACCGGCTCGCCTGCATACTTTCGCTCCTTGCAAAGGTTACCGTATCGCGGACGGCACAAACCGATGACCCGGCGGCGGCGGCTCGGCGAGCTTGCACACGGGGGCCGCCGCCGACCGATCGCCGTCTAGCCGGGCCCGCGGCGCGACACTCGCCCGAACTCGGTCGGGAGCCCCGAAGGTGCGTTGGAAGCGTGGAAACGGCGTTATGTATCGAAGGCCAATGGCCATATACACTACGAACGAGCAAAAGCCGATACAAAGGCGTGCGCAAACGGAAACAACGGTAGAAAAGTGCCGTCGCTCGCCGCTATGAAATGTGCCCCGCAAACTCGATAATCCGCGGCCGCATCCCTTTCCTGCCGCTCGTACTATCTCTAACTTGACGGCTACTCTGTCTGGCGGGGCAGGCCGACAAAACGATTGGACGATCGTCGGGATACGGGGTAATTGCTACAGCCGAGCGCGGCGCAGTCTAACATTGCTCTCGCTGCGAAGGGCCGTCAAGTCAACCACCAGCACGGTAGATACAGGTGTTCGACGTCATCATGTGACGTAGATGCAAGGCATGTAAAAGATAAAAATGATTCCGAAATTCGCCCCTGTGAAACTTCGGATAAGATTGGTTTTACATCAGACCTAATTGTGTACGATGTGCAAGTTTCCACGAAAACCATACATTTCTAGCTTTCTTAATAATAGACTGTGGTTTATGTGATTGAATTCTTTACTAAAGTCTGTAAAGATTCAGAGTATAATTTTTATCCTCGAAACTTCGCAAAATGTATTATTTTATAGCGATAACATTATTACGCAACTACTCAAGAAGCTATGTATATTCTGGGCTCCTAATGCGCAGTAGGTATGCGCAATGGATCTTTTCAACTCACTGTGCGGCAGCACTCCTTCACATTCGCACCCTCTTCGAAGGACCTGACGACCTTGACGTCGTCCTTGGCGCCGTTCTAGAGGTCGTCCTAGACGTCGACTTTGACGTCACCCTAGAGGTCTTCCTCGAGGTCGTCCTAGACGCCGTCTAGAGGTCGTCTTTGAGGTCATCCTATAGCTCGTCCTTGAGATCACCCTGCAGGTCGTCCCAGAGGTTTTGCTGATGTCGTCCTTGACGTTCTCTTTGACGTCGTCCTAGAGGACGACGTTAAGAACGACGCCTAGGAAGACTTCTAGGGTGATCTCAAGGACGACAAAGATTTAGCCTCGTCCTAGAGGGCGGTGCTAAATGTAGCGGATAAATCGACGTCACGACCTGTGCAGCAATTCAGTTTCCCCGTTAAATTTGGCGTTGTACATCGATAAATGCGATAGCATTCATAGATAATCTCCCCAGTGCTTTCTACCAATTCGCCTCGACCATCAATTTGCTGCTCTGTAATTTTTTGTTGTAAAACTGCAAGCTCTGTAGATCGACATTTACGAAAACCAAACTGTGATGGAGTGATTGTATTATTTTTATATGAAATCTTTTATCGGGTGCGAATGTAGAATTTTGTAAGTCCTTTCGAGAATACCGATAAAATTGAAATACCTGTGGTTACCCATATTGTTCTTATCCCCCCTTTTTGTACAAAACGGTGTCCCTTGCAATCTGCATTCTTTTTAGGAAATACCTATTTTTTAGGAAATACCCCTTGACGCATTAAAGACACACATAAACAGGTCAACATGAGATCTATTATATATTTTATCGGACCTACTTGCATGTCACCAGAGACAGCTTGATTTATTTTTTAGTGACAAAAATGTTTGAATCACTTTCGTATCTGGAGCTGGTTTTCAAGAAAGATCGAGGTTGCATTTCGACTTTCTGTGTACACGCAAGCGTCTTCACCAGTCATATGCCTAAGTTTACAAAATGATAATTAAAAGCGTTTGGTCGTTCTGTTAGTTTCATGTCATTCAGATAATTTTTTTTTTCAATTTGTTTGGTACCATTGGAACGATTTGAAACATTATTAAGATTTTTCCCACGTGACGTTCATTTGCATTGCGGCAGACAAAATAATTGCTGAAATATCTTGTTCTAGCAGATTTTAGCTCCTTTGTAAGTCTGTTTCGGTACAAGCGCCACGAGTCCCTGGTCGCTGCCACACACCGTCTCGCACTTCCCGGAAACTCCCAAGACGGCTAAAAGCTTTTTTTTCTTCTTTTTATGACAAAACAGCAGGGCGCACACTTGGCCCACTTCATTGGTCATCAAATAAATACGTTTCAAAGCAAAGCGAAGTATAATTTGAACGTGTCAAGGTTTTTAGGCTCCCTTGTTTCTACGAATCATTTGTATAAAGCATTTTGTTTTCTATTAATCTTTATTAGAAATTTTGGAGTTATCCATAGTTTACGGTTTATTTTTGACAACCCAACAGTTCTAAAGGGAAAACAAACTCTTTATATATGTGCTGCAATTTGCATAGAAAAAGATCATGTGCTACGGCAACGTCCAGTTCATCATAGACTTTCCATTATACGTCGGTAGACTTAACACGTCGATTTCATCTGAACACCATGTTTACGTAATCATAATGACATTGAATACAACATTAAATTCGTCAAAGAGTAAAACCAAATTCAACAGTTTTATTTCGGGCAGATCGTGCGTTGAAATGAAAGCCATTTGAACGATCTACAATACTCGTTTCCGAGGTATGGTTTTAGTTCGGAGGCAATGAACGAAAAAGTTTTGTTAGTACTGTAATTACAAAGACAAACGTTAGGCAAGAAATACAGTTTACTTCAAATGTTGAAGGACCATCTCGCACCTGACAAGAGTAACTCACTCCCCGTCTCTCCGCCTCAAAAAAATTGGTCGTTACGGTGACATGCATATTTGTAGCCATTTTCTTTTGCCCCTTCCTTTGTTGCTGCGAGCAATGCACGGTTTGTCTAGTCTATGTTCTCAAGAATATAGCAGTCCTCATCGGTGCGACTAAGTTTCTTCCTATTGTCTAGCCAGTGGTCGCGGGTGGCCTGTCTTACAAAGTGAACAATAATGCCCGGGATTTTATCAGCACGAGCTGGCAGCCTGCGCAACATTGCAACATCACTTTCTGTAAGTGCTCGCGCATCTAGTTTTACTGACACCTGATTTAACTCTTCAAGTAGGTTTTCGTGCTCAGAAATCGGCAGACCGTGTATTTCAAGGATCATTTTCCTAGTCTACCATTCCGACGGATTCATGTCCTGCACCATCTGTTGTGCATTAAGCTGTCTTTCGCGGTTTTCGATATTTGTCACCCTTTTACTCAAACCTTTTATGTCGTCATCGTGTTGACGCCCGTGTTTGAGAACTTCGTCATATTTTGCCGACATCATGCTTACAGAGTGTTCGATAGCCGAGACAGTTTCTTTTAACCACGTGAAAGACTTGAGCTTTTCGTTGCTCTCGTCCGACTTCTGTTTCGGCTCTTGTGTGCTCTGGCTACTCCTCAACCTAGCGGTTCTACATGTCCGGCAATGCCATGCATTATGCCAAGCTTCACCTTTTGCTTTAAATGTTTATTCTGAAATACCGGAACAAGGTCCCAGGTGATAGAAGTACGTGCATTCCGTGCATTGCATATCATTATCTTCGTCGTACGGCGCATCACAACAAACACAGCAGTTAGCCATAGCAGAAAACAAGAAGAACTAAGAAACAAACTTAAACAGAATTACGATGTGGCAACAGCTGCAGCGCAAAGAGAACTCAACCAGATGCTGAGTGCGAAACTAAACAAAAATTGCCTTCCAACTTGGAATGTTTTTCAGCGGAGTTAGCCTTCTGTTCACGACGCTGCTGCTGCTGCTAATCTGTCGGTGTCGTTGGCACGCAGTCCCTTTTAACACGATAGCGTTTAGGAGCTTGTATCGCAGAAACTCCGGCGTCGGCGAAACCAAAAAATCCCATAATGCAACGCGCGCAGCCACGTGTGACGTCACGGGTGGTTGTGATTTCTGCCAAATATAGTGGAACAGTTTTCCGTCATATTTAGCCGAAAGTTCCCCGCAAAATTTAGCGGAAAGTTTTCTCGCCAGATTTAGCAGGTCGATAGAGTCATGACGTCACAGCCACGTGTGACGTCACGCGTCACGTGCCAACGTCACACGTGACGTCACGTGACACGTGACGCTAAGGCGTGGGAACGAGCGCTGGTTTTATGAGAAGGCTTCCGCTCTTAAAGGCGACGCTTAATCGTCCCGAAAGTTTTTTATATTAGGCTCGGTGGTGGCATGTAGCTGCTTGTGGTATCAGAGGCAAGCTGCAGGAACTACAGCGTTGCTGGTCCTCGCTGCAGCACGCTTCCTTGGTAGATGATACAGCGGCCTGGAATGATTGTCAGCGTCGCTGCCGCTGCTGCCAATGTCTGCCAATTGAGGAATGGACGACGTGGAGGAAGCTAGGCGCACCGGAAATCTCGCAATAGATGCGCAATCGTGTTCGCTTACACACTGAATCGGTGCCTCAAGCCCCCGGGCGATTCAAATGGTACAGCTGTATCCCATCATCCATCCCCCCCTCCCTTTTTAGATGCAAAAGCCGGCACACAAGGTACTCTCAAGCCATACATTAACGACTGTTTTATAAACATGCGCGTTTGTCCGTACGTTCACTGCACATGCGTACGAACATCAAGCATGAGTTAACGCATAAACGGATGCTAATTTCCGCCTGGAGCGTGACAGAAATGAGTAGGGCGCATCGAACGATACGCGCCTTTTGTCGCGCGCCTTATCGACTTGCGTCGCACAACGGAGCTTGAACGCCCTCCTGCGGCCCAAGTATTCGCACTGTCATCCCCGTTCGCATCTCGGCGAAACTAGGCCGACAGGCTGCGCTACGCGGCGGCGAAAACAGAAAAGTTAAACCTCGCCGATCTCCTCGTCGTAGTCCGGGAGTTTTGCTCTTGCTCGTGTAAAGGAAACTCTGGCGGAGAAACGTACCTGTGTGTCATGCGTCATTCCGTGGTATTTGTGTTCTCCAGGCAGGCCGACAGGATGGCCGGGTGCGGCGACTGCCTTCCGGCGTCCGTGAACAGAAGTCTACTGCCGCTGAAACTCCACTTTTTCCTCTACCTCGCAGGTATTGTGGTATCCCTTTGTTGTTTCCGAACGTCATTTTGTAGGGGTTGTGCGAACAGCGGATCAAATTGAGTACTGAAAGAAACTGAGGGAGATGAGAGCGGTCGGGGAAAGGCAGAGGACCGAGATCTGGTTGGAATGATTAGTGCGTAGACGCAAAGCGAGCCGCCTTTGTTTCTACTCTCTGTTCGAACGCGTTCGAACGCCGGACGCAGGCGTTCGGCTTTCGTGTTCGCGTAGCGACCTAGGCGGCTAGATTTGCGTCTACCCACAAATCATTCCAACCGGAGCTCGGTGTCTGCCGTGCACGCGCGCTCTCGTCCCCCCTCTCCCTCAGTTTCTACCCGTATAGTGCTGCGTCATTCGTAGACTTCACAGTGCTAGGGATGACGCTGCGCTGTTTATTCGCTTGGAAGCAGCATTCGCACACCCTTAGTTTTTGTTTTACACATCCTCGAAGTGGGCGATTGTCGAAGGATTGGAATGGTTTGGTGCTGCGTTATTTTTGGTTAAATCTGAATATCCACGCTGTAGGTTAGCAGTAAGTTCGGAGAGGCTTGACAAAGTAATCGTCTGGAGGCACCAGCGAGTTTGTGCACATCCTACCAGACTGCGAAAGTAACCCAAATTAAATTGTCCCAAAAAGAAAGCAGGTCGCTAGCAGTAGGGAGTTTCAGTAGATCGTTCGGATGGCTCCGATAACGATGCCCCATACTCCGCGGACGCCTTTGCATATACGTCGTGTCGCGATCGGGTATCGCTATCGGAGCTATCGGAACGCTAAAACGCCGATCCGAGGGGTCGCGCCAGCAGCCGTTAGGGTTGGTCCGTATATCTTGAGCAAGAAAGAAGTGCTTCTTATAGATTCAGCTTGCGTACAGTAGGAGCGTAAGGAAGAGTTGCAATGATCGATTTTGCGACTCCGCTTGTGTCCAGCGGCGTCTGGGCCGGCTTTCTAGAAGCAGCGTCTCAGCTAAGACAGGGGAAAAGAAAGCACTGCCAAAGCTAGGGCACGAGCAAAGTGGCGTCTCAAGTCTCAAGCGCTCGCGCGCCCCCAGTCTTGGCAGGCTTTCTTTCACCCGGTCTCAACTAAGACGTTGTTTCTGGCAAGTCGGCCCTGCATCCGCGCGGTTGCGAGAAAGAAACACTCGCGACGGTGTTTGCCTCGCCTCAGGCAACAACGTTTTTCCCGTTCCCGCTAACGCGAACCTTCATTTCTTCGTGTTTCGTAAGTTGAGAAGTATTGCGCGAGTGTCTTGCAGCGAAGACAATTTGCTGTCCAAAAAAGTATTAAAAAATGACAACAACAACAACAAAAAAAAAACAGGTGTATTACTATTTATTATGCTCACAGCCGGATGGGTTATAACATGAAAAGCAAAGGTCACTGACTGCTGCGACTCGACTCTGCGCCGAGTTTACGGCCGGCCGGAACTGGCCCAGGTAGTAGTAGTATGAGCTGTTCGGTCGATAGCAAACCCAGAACAGCGGCGGCATCTGTTCTGTTTCTGTTTTTAACCGTTCGGGTAGAGAAGGCTTATCATGATTGTGTATCATTCGGTTGGCCTTCGCAGTGTGTTATATCCAGTGTCAGCGGTAACCCGTTACAAGTAACGACGTTACCGGTAACGCGTTACTTTACTTTTCGGTACCGCGTACTCGTTACGTTTTCGAAACAGTAACGGATAACTTTTTTACATTACTTATTTCGAGTAACGGGTAATGTAGTTACGTTACTCGTTACATATCCTTCTAAAAACTTAAAAATAAAGATATAAAAAAAAAGATGTTAACATTTTCTTTTAGTTCCTAGGCGGTGGCAAGTTATGGGAATTGTTTTTAGCCGTTTTCTTTGCGCTTTTTTTTTTCTCTCGTGAGTATTTAGATGAAACCGTAAAAAAAAGCCAAGGTAATTATGTACAGTTTCTACATGGACATACTAGAGAGTTTTAGTAGACCGTTTTCGGTTTCCCGCTCCGCTCTATGGAAAGCGGAGTCGCCATCGCGCATGCGCGACCCGCTCTGGGATTTGAGCGTGGAGCGTCAGCTCCGCTATCGTCGCCATTTTAAGAAGTACGTTCCACTCTCAGTTAAGGTTCAGTAGATGGTGCTTTTCTGGAAAGGTGGGTGCTCGCTATTTGAAATCATGCTTGGGAGCGCGCTTGACCGTTATGAACCTCGCTGCACTAAGAAGCTGCGCAGACTTTGTTTGAAAAGGCGTCCCCCAGAAAACGTTTCACGGTGGTCAAGAAACTCTGGCTGCTCCGAGAAATCGCTGGCCGTAATCCTTTCACGGCCCCTGAACGGTGGGAACAGGTGCTGCCTTGTCTAAGCCAGCGGGCTCGATTTTTTATGCGAGATGACGACGACGACGTTGAGAGGATGACACACCGCGGGCGACGGCGGTGTCTCAATCTGAGCCCTGGGGGGCTATGTTGCGCTTTTTGGACTCCCAGGAGACTAGGGAGAGGGAAGTGACGTCAACGACACAGCAAACGCAGATTGGGTGTTGATTTCGTTTTCTTCTGTCAACATCCAATCTGCATTTGCTGTGTCGTTGACGTCACTTCCCTCTTCCAAGTCTCCTGGGAGTCCAAAAAGCGCAACATAGCACCCCTGGGCCTCGGTTCCTCGGAGGCGGCAGCTTCTACATCGGCTGGACTACCTCCTTGGAGCATGATTCTTTGACCCCAGTGGACCCCAGTGAGCAATAGCGCCATTATGTTCCTGGTGCTCCTTCATGCACTGATCGAACGGCGTGCAAGATCCTCATAGCTCTCTGCTCACCCGCCCAACCCGCCTCCACGAAGTCTGGACTTCTGCGAATCGGACTGCCACCCTCCCCAATACCAACAACCCATGTCGTCGTCATCTTGCACGTATATACTCATCACATTACCATGTTCCCTAGACGCGGCACCGCGGGCCTCGGTGGTACGGGCTGCTGCTTTCCGCGGTGACGCGGCTCTCCAGAGCCAAAAATGAAAGGTTATAGACCAAAGACTAATGCAGTCGGCAAACGGACAGGTATTTTGTTTGGTTACTTCAGGCAGCAAGACAGTGAAAATTAGCGAAAGCGAGTGCTCCATCTATATCTCTACTTTTTTTCCCAATGAAATGAGTCTTTTCTTCTTCGTATGATTCGGTTTGTGATATGGTGCCTTGGTGTTTATGCACACTGCGCGACACTGTTAGCGGGAGCATTCAATATCCTGTTTTCATTTTTCACCTTAAATTCGAGGGGCTGACACTTGCCTATTGGTGTGGAATAAAGCGCTCGTTTGGGGCACTAATCTGAGCGACAAATTTTCAGCTTTTTCAATAGCTGTCAAAGAAATAAACTGCAAATAAAAGCGATTTTTTTCGTGTTCGTATTTACAGTGGAGCGCAGTGTATGTATCTGCCTTGGGGGGTGACATGAAACCATTTTGCTTGACTATACACATCTTTTTATTTCTTTTGTGTGTTTATGAAAGTGCGTTTTTCAGCTTAAGCTCCTGCCCAGTTTCTGCCTCACTTGTGCTACGGTCTTTTCTTGCAACATAGTCTGCTCTTACACGCACATCTGAGAAGTAAAATGGGAGTCGTTAGTAAACGTTTTTTATTAAAATATTTCTAGATGCCTTTCAGCCCAGTTGGACAGGTATTTCGCTCAGTACAAAAGCTTGAACATGATTTACTGTGATAATTTTATGCATTCTAATATTAAACAAACAAAAAAAATGCCCATAGTCTTTGTAGGTTTCGTCCAGCCGTCAAATTATGCCGTCTGCGCACATCACTGCCTGGTGCTTCACGACGAGCACCATCTTGTGGTCTTCTTCTAATTTTTTTGATGGACGGCATATGGGCATGTTGTGCGGTCAACAAAACCCCAACAGTTGTTCAGGGGTGTTCCCTTGTCCTTGACGGCCTAATAAAAAAGACAAAGAAAAACACTCTTACAACACGGCAGTATTTAAACACTACCAAAAGCATGTGATATGGGACTTGTTACTCCTCTAAGATAAAGCGTATTTTCATTGTAGGGTTGTAAAAAACTGGGTATGGTAAATTAATATATATATATATATATAGTTGTTCCTTAATTCTGCTAAGGTTTGAGGCCGTCAAACTGTGCATGCGAGGCCCGCTACGCCGGAATTCAAAACGAAACTTCTGAAAACTGTTCTAATCTACCACTATTGCTTAGAAGTCCAGGGTTGTGTTTGATAAATTTTGCATTGTTTACGCCTGTCTGGTTTTCACCAGACAAAAAATTGACGTGGAATATTCTTTCGACCGTTATTGGTAACTCTTTTCAAAACACCACCGGGTAACATATTCGGCCGCCATATTTTGGGCATCGCTTTTAGTGCGAGACTTGTGACTAGAACCCATTTCATATTCAGTATTGACGCAGCATTCGTGTCTAATACATTTAGACTCGCATCCGCGACAAACAATGACGTAGCTCTCTTGCTCCCTAGACACTTGGCCAAAATAAGGCGGCCTCAAAGACTAGCGGCACCATGGGTTGCACTTTTAAAAAGGCTGCATTTAAGTTTCTATTATTTTCTAAATCTACCAAAGAAATCCAATGCAAACATTTCTTGAGGAAAGTTAAACAAATCAAAAGTTGCGAGCGAGTGTGAATAAATAAAGCTGAGAGGAATGGTTTCTTTGGTGCAGCTTGCGAGCGCTATGCTCGTGGTCAGCTTTCAGTGGCATTTTCGACAGGAGGGCGCATGCACAGATATAATCGGCGTTCAAGCACGCGCACCCGTACATCTCACTGCATAGCCATAGGACGTCCACAAAACGCAACGACTTTACCGACGCCGTGCTGGTTGCAAAGTGATACTCGTTCACTTCGTTTGATTATGCTGTTTTGTGTTACATAGAACTCCACTCGAATGGTGTTTTCGTTTTACGCGCGGGGCGTACGCTTTTCTTCTTGATTCGACCTCTTTCAAGCTGAGGTCAAGGTCAAAAACATCGACGCGTATTGAGTAAGTGCAG